AATCCTGGCTTTCGTGGCCAATGGCAAGCAGGCTAGAGGTTTCAAGTGGTCCACCCACGCGAGATGTCGGGCACACAGTCCTGTGATCGGCACGCCCCAATTTGTGGGGGCAGTGGTTGCAACATAGCTGCTGCTGTCACCAACATTTGTCGGTAGGGCATCAGTACCACCAAGCCTTAGCTGTTCCCAATTCATCCAGCAGCTGGGTTGTGCTTGGCTCGTACTTGGCTCGTACTGCCTAGAACATCGCGACATGGCCCGGCTCCCCTTGCATCAGGCCATTCGAAGACGGTCGAGGGCAAAAGTGTGTGCGATTTTGCCAGCGGCTCGGAGGTCTTGTAGGGGACAGTTTTGACGAATGCTTCAGGTGGCTTCCAGATGCTTACAAGCTCATGCCACGCAAGTCAGCAGAAGTGGCTGCTGCCACGGGGCGAGCACGGGGCGCCAGCTACACAGGCAAAGTCCTAGGGCAGCGTGGGGCAACGTGGACGGCACCATGTAGCATCAACTCACTCGATTGCTTCACCTAACAGCTTGGCATACAGCTCCTGCGCGAAGAGGCCTGCCACAGTCAGCGTCCCAGCACGCGCAGTAAAGTCCGAAGGGTCATCGCCTCGGCCCACGTGATCCCATGTGCACGCAAATCCACTCACTGTCTGTGCAGGGAATGGCCATAGCAAAATCCATAGCGGTCATGGCAGTCATGGGTCCGGTAGCAGACCTGGGCACCCTCGATTTGCCCTGACACTGATTGTTCCGTCAAAGGAACAGCCCCCGTAGGCGGCAGTGCAGTAGCAAATGTGCCAGGCTCCGCCCTGGGGCAAGTCCACTGCTGTCAACGACACCTGAGCTCTCGATCTTGCGACTTGGCATATCTGCTTGTATCTGCTTCAGCTACCAGCAAGCCACTCACAGGACTGTCACTGGTAGACATTCGAACTCCGCAACCCTCCACGCCAAACCCTTCGGGCAAGCCTGGACTTGCGCAAAGAGCTGCGTGCTCAGCTGCACAGGCTGGTACTGCCCACTTCCTCACAACTGCCGCTAGCCGCTAGACGCGGACACAGAGCGGTCACTGTGGCAGAACGTTTGATGTGCAAAAAAGTGCAAAAAGTGTGCTACCTCCAAAACCAGTAGGAAAAGCTTGAAAACAGAAATGCACTGCTAGGTCTTGCCAGAAAAGATGCAGATTGCACCAAGCTGCCAATAACAGGGCGCTGGTTGGCTGCGTATTCGTTTCCAGTCAAACGCGTGTCCTTGTCTGCGGCAGTATGCGAAACTGCTTGACAGGACGGCCACGCGGCGAGGCTCAAGAATACTAGTGTGATGGTACTGACTGAGCATGTGCCAACTGCGTTTGACTCGGTTCTCGAAATCTCAACTGACGCGTTTGTACTTGCCAGCCGACGAGCTTTTGCATTTGCGAAAGCTGTCAAAGGCCGTATAGTTCTGCAATCCAGCTCTCTCACGAAGTTTGACAAGTTTGCGAGCCCCATGCGTCCTAACCCCGCCCTGAATGTCTTCCTCGTCGCCTTGCGACCCAGCATCTCGGTCACCCACTCCGCAGGTACCGCCAAACCTGATGAAGGCAACCTGCAGTTCCATCGGCCGACTAAAAACAAAAAAAACAACAAAGGGATATACAGGGACATCATGGAACATTCAAGACTTGTGTGGTGGTCTTGCCTTGCGGGCCCTTGTTGCTGCCCCCCGAAGCTGTGTCTTCACTTTCTGGACTCTTCAAGATCTCTTCAAGTACTTGGACTACGGAACTGACATCTTAACTCCCAGTTACGAGGCCTGGTCCAGCTCGCTGAGACCTTGGCCTTGGAAAGTGACATTGCAAGCCTTGCCAGCATAGCAAAGTTGGTCCTCCGGCCACAGGCATGCATTATGTCAACATCAGGGATTGCAATGTCACGTGTGGGCCCTACCAGTTCACAGAACGACACAAAAGGGCCATGTCCGGCAATGTCCTGTGTGTTCGGGGTCGGGCCCAAAACCTTAGCCGCGGCAACAAGCACTTCGGCAACCTGAAACTTCAGAACTATGGCCAACGTGCTCCTCACACTTAAGGCTTAAACATGATAAAAGGTAGGATTGTGTCTGACGCCTGGGAACTGTGAGGGTCCCCGCAAGCGACGTGAAATGCTCCGGCAGAAGACAGCCTCGTCACATGCGCGCAGCTGGCTTTCCAAAGTAGTTCAGGCTTTACAAACCCAGAACGCCAGTTAACGTTGTCGTCTCCAAAATACGTACAACCCCTGAATCTCTTCCTTCACGTTCAGCTCCTTTCCACCCCTCGCCTTCGTACCCTGCGCAGTAGCACATCAACCATTGACCGCCCACCTGCGACAAGCATCGGATCGGCAGCATAGGCCATACGAGGCATGAGATCAAAAAACCACGCCACGCAGTTTAGGGTTTGAGGCTTGCAGGTTTGAGGGTTGAAGGGCTATGGGTTATGGAAGTGTTTTGGGCTTAGGACTTGGGGTTTGGTTCCAAGGTAAACATTGAGGGCTTCGGATTCTTTTCTAGTGTTCGATCCTTGTCCGTCCCACAAACCGCTCAAACGTCAAGCACACACTCCGGCTTGGCGAGGACAAATGACGAACATAGATGGACACAGATGGACTCCAACAGGATGTGGCTGTGTAGTTGTGCAACATCTTTGCTGTGAAGTGGCATGCCCCAAGCATGCCTCGTACTTCTTGGCTGGAACCATTTAGCAGAAACAGATTCACAGCTCTGCAAATCACAAGGTTTTGGATTTGAGCCACAGCGACGATGGCACCAGGTGGGCGTTGTCCGATTTTCTTGTTCCCAGAAACCCACCAAGCGCCCCACGTTTCGCGGACCTTTCGCACCCTTTCGCGGAGGCACAAAACTGTCATATACCTTTCGTCGATGATATGGTCGACATAACCGAGTACAAGCAGCAGGGAGCCTGTGTGCGTTTTTCACGCCCCCCAAAGCGCACTTTGCCCTCTGATCCCAAGAGGGGAATCAATGTGCTGGCTTCAGTCGTTTTGAGCTGCTTTTGCGTCGACGATATTTGCCCTAATTCGCCATCCGTGCCAGTGCACCCCAACCAGCGAGTCTTAACCAGGGGAAATCAGTGTACGTTGCCAGAAATCTTCTTATCAGGCTGTAAGGACAATGGAACTTGGAAGCCCGGCTGGCCAATACCTTTCCAGGACCTGTCGCCCAATCGCGTTCCTTTCGCGGACCTTTTCGCGTGGCTTTCGCGATTTTCAGCGCGCGCTGCCCCGCAGACTTTCGCATTCAGTCGCGGAGATCTTGCTCTCCAAAACGTGCCATCAGCCATCCAAGCCTGCGTTTTTGCACCCACCGAGGATCAGTGTGCACTTTTGAAGCCTTCCAAACGCATTTTGCCCCGGATCAGACTTCCAAGCTGTGTTTTTCAACCCCCCCCCCCAGTGCAACCACCACCAGGGATGCCGCCCTCCAAACCGCACTTTCCCATGAGCCATCCACAACCTATCAGGCTCGAGCCACAAACCACTGTTCATTTTTCCAGGCCCGCCTAAAGGAAAACAGGCATGTTCTTTTGCGTGAGATCCGTGTGCGCGTTTCAGGCCTCCAAACGCACTTGGCCCCTGATCATCCGTCCAAGCCTTTGTGTTTTTGGGCCAACTCTGCAGAAGAAACACTGCGAATGGATTCAGGCATGATGTTACATATACCTTGTGTTTTCCCTTTCGCGGCCCCTTCCGGCGCGCTTTCGCGAACCTTTCGCGGAGACTACAATCAAGCAGAAACCTATATCAGACATTCGCTATAAAAAAGAACGAACAGGGGTCTAAGACAAACCCCATGTGCAGCGAAGGTATTGTGCTGCGTAACGTCTCACCGGGATTCTGGCAAGTACACATCAATGTACAACCGATGCTTCCCAGGCATGATGTAGCCCATGCCTGCTGTGCGCCTCTGCTAGAAGACTTGTCAAAACGAGAACTCAGACAATGCAACAAGGTCAGTGTTTCCACACTGCCCAACTAGGCGCTAAACATAGCACGAAACATATCCTATCCCTTGCATGGATAATCGCAGGAATGCAGCCGGGGCGTGACCCCATTCACCTATGGTCCACGGTGTCGCGACACGCACACACACACACACACACATATGGTGAGAGCTGTAGTGCGCAAGGACACTGGCTTAGCATCAGGCAAATCAGACAACACAACATGCTTTCAATAAGCTCTACGATCTAGAAGCACCCTACTCCACCAGGGCCCCACCGGCAGGTCACTGTCAGAGCCGGCTGGGAAGAGCAACTGCGCACGGCCATCTGGCAGGTGAAATGCGGAGTCGAAGGATTCCAGAGAGGTTACAGGGCAAGATTAGGTGCTAGTGAGTTGCATCAAATCGTACAAATGCACAGCGTGCT